TCCCCGTCTCCCTCCAAGCGTTTCGCAGCCCGTCACAGGTCAGTTCCAAGTGCCTTCTCGATGGAGCTGCAGGGAAAACACGCAGCTCACGGATCGGTGAAGAAATGACGGAATCACGCGGGCTCTCACAGGGCTGGAGAGCTGGGGAGGCGAGGAGTCGGGCCTAGGCTGGGCGGAAATGAAATATGTTTTTCCTGAGGGAAATGAAATATTTGGTCGTCTAAAACCTTGGACGTGTACTGAGGTTGCATCCCTGCATGCACCTCCCCGGACTAAATTCCAATGGGACAATTCTGATTAGATCCAGCAGACTCCAGAAGGAGGGTTGTGCAGCCAGGGGCCAGATCCTATGTCTTTGTTGGCTGACTCGCAAACCTCCCCCTCCTCATGCCCCCAGCACGCACACGCATGCCTCCATACACACGTTAGGTATTGGAAAGGGGGACGAAGGCTGCAGCCACTTGATGTTCCAGCTGGTTTACGTCGACTGGATTTACTTCTGAGTAGACATGTTTAGGATCAGGCTCAAAACTGATTTCGGGTGTCCCTGGAAACAAACGTGACTTAAAGGGGTTCTGGAAAAGCGCTCGTGTATTAGACACGATCGCTTAGTCTAACTTCCGTGTTCAGAGCGATCGACACCCGTCATAGGGGAGGGAAAACGTGTCAAGAACAGCAGAGCCATTGCAATCAATGGGACCTAAGTCAGGGCACGGCTCACTGCTGTCCTATTGATTTTAACGGGTCTATTCCAAATCTGGATTTGGATCTGGGTCTTCTTTCTCAAGAAGGCGAACCTTAACCCCGTTCAGAGGCAGAGCTACAATTTCTCCTAGCTTATGAGTTGCAGATCATTGAGCTGAAAAGACCGCCATTCCTCCAACTTCCTTTTCCTAGGGTGCCTGAAGCCAGCTGTCCCATTCGAACCTAAATTCCTCCCCCTCTCTCGATTATGACGGTTTAAGTTGATTTTCTTCCTGGGAGGGCTGCGAAAAAGCCGCTTCTGTATTTATTTGAGAGCACCGGTGGGGAAAAACCCCCACTCCTATCTCCGCAAAAGCCAAGGTTGTCTCAGATGGAATCTGCAACACAGAATAGTCCCCAAGGTTTTTCTGCTTGGAGAGCAGCAAAAATTTGTCGATTTATTTATCTATTTGAAAAAGAAGAACCTCTCTCCCAGGGCAGATGTTCTGAAAAGAACAGAAACCCACTGCGCTCTCTCCTCCTCTCTTCCCCACCCACTATCTGCAGTTGCGTCACTGGCATAGCCTGAATCCCAGGAAACAGGCAGTCTTGAGCCCCAGGACCTCTTTTTCAGAAGATGCCTTAAATAACTTTTGACATCACCTTTGTACAAGCTCCTCCACATTCCATAACTGGATGGCAACCCTGCCTCTGCATTGACATGGGAAACTGACTTTGGTGAGTCCTTGGAAGAAGATATTTGACAGGCCATTTGGACATCTTCGGCTTCTTTAGCAATCGACATGAGCATCACAGAAGCACTATTTAAGTTCTCCATGGGTGGTTTGCTACTCCTGCGAGGCTTCACCTAGTGCATCCAAATTCTCATCGGTATTGTTGGAAGTGCTTTGGTGCTCAGGTGGGCTTCTTTCATCTTTGGTGAAAAGGTTCTACAGCTGCCAGAGATGTGGTTGCTGAGTCATGTCAGACACATTTTCAGGTTAGAAATGTGGTAACTTCTAAAGCTACACCTCTTCATTCTTTTGAACCGAATGATCCTGGATTCCTGCATAAAGCAATTGTGTAGTGTTACAATGTCATTTCTGGTATGCAGCTGAAAGTCTCCTGATCAGCCAACTAAAGAACAGTGGGATCATAAAATTTGGGAGAGTGACTATCTATAAACCTATCAGCAAGTGATCCATCCATCCATCCATCAGAGGACCCTAACGTAAAGAAACATATTAGGGTACATTGGTTTCCATATATTTCCTATATTGAAGTTCTTCAGGCTTTGGATCAAATTCCAACCAGGAGCAATTGCCTATGCCTTTTTTCTGACACACAAAATAACATACAATCATCCACACATTCCTTGCACCTATTGTATAGATTGCAGATTTACTCCCCCATTGGCTTTTGAGGTCCTATGCAGCTTTACTCTAGAAGTTGCATAAAAATATCAGCAATAGATGAATAATTATAATTCGTGAATGTTTTTATTTCTTTACTAACACTGATGCATTTTCACCCAAGTTCTCTTTTTTGTTGCCTTTATTTGGTTATTTCAGAATAAAATAAAATTCCACAAATAAATTTTCTGAGCCAAAAGCTTAATGAAAATGCCCTAGAAACCAGTCTTTGGTGTTGAGAAAATGGAAACAGAGTGTGCCTTGGGCAGGGTCTTCATTCCGACGTGACGTGCTCTTCTCCTTCTTTCTCTAGTTAATGAAGCTGGAGTTCATGAATGGGATCCGGGAATGTGTTCATGAATGTCGGGAAATGAAAAAGGGGAACAGGGAGAAGGGGCTAGGCACTCAGGTGCCTGCCCAGGAGTTCTGGACTACCTGTGCCAGCTTGCATGGGCAGTGATCGGGGATCATGGCAGTTGTAGTCCAAAACGTCTGAAAAGCTCCAGGTTGCAGCGGAATGAAACAGGCAAGCGTACGCCCCGAAGTGGCTGGCTTTTGATAGACCCGCAGCGTTTGAGAGCAGCTCGGCTGGGAATCTTGTGCATTTACTTGAAAGTAAACCCCGTTGAACTCGGGGGGACCTGCTTCTGAGTCATCATACACAGGAAAGCGAGGACTGGGTGTTGCAGTCCTTGGGATGAACGACGCGATCCTAAGGGTGATTACTCAGGACCCCTGATCTGAACAGCGCAAACCTGCGCACGTCTACTCAGAAGCAAGCAAGACAATATTCAGTGGGGTTTATTCCTTCCTGGGTTTGTTTGGTGGTTTTTTTGGGGGGAGGGTGTTTAGGATAGCAACCTCGACCTCCGATGAAATGGGCGCGGTTCACCTGACTGCGCAGTGACCCTGTGCAGGATTCACTGAAATCAATCCAAGCCGACCAAGGCTGTCACCTCAATATTTCCGATGCTCTCTTTCCCTTCCTTGCTGGCCGGGGGGGGGGGGGGGCATTTTGCTGAGTCATGCATCTTCCCACTCCCAAGTATTAGGCAGAGATGCGCTTGCGGAGTCACGCGTTTCTGAATATCCGATCGCCCTCAATTTTCACATCGGAAAACCCCACGCCTCCACCTCCCGTGTTTGAAACTAACCCGGAGATCCAGCCAAAGGCCAGTTTTTCTACCGCTGCAATTCCGCGTATACTTCACCGGGAATGCACCAAGTCCTGGTGAATTCAGTGCAGCTTACACTTGAGTAAACATGGCTAGCAGCCGGCACAGCGGGAGAGACTTCAAGATGCTTTAGCTGATCTCTCGATCGCAGCGATAGTTTAAAAATCCTTCGCTTTGTGGCTTTGTATGATGCAGTGTTCTAGCAGTGAGCGTGGACCAGTCTTTCTAAATGCACTCCTTTCTTGGCACGTTTTATTTCTTCTCCATTGTCTGAATGTCTCTTTATAAACCAGCACTGTTAAAATGATCGAGAGGACCCATATGACCGTGTATTTGCAACCAGAGTATAAAGGACTTTTATCAGGAAGTCAGACCTCCTGGTATCAGTAAGGCTTATAGTACATCTCTATGGTAAGTCCCACTGAATTCAAGTTACTCTCTGGTGGGTATAGGATTGATTGTGGGTATAGGATTCCCTACGTAAGCTGCAATTGCATCCACACTTAGCAATAGGCTTCGTTGTGCACTCAGTGGGGCTTACTTCTGAGTAGATACGCACAGGACCCCACACGGCTAAGTATGTTTAGGCTTGTGCCTTCAGGGTTGACATGCCACCAATGAAACCAAGACAACCGTTCCCCCAGAATGTCCTTTATTCAGCCCCATGTAAGTGTAGCAGGTTCACACTAAAACATGGTGCAGAGGCTTGCTATATTGCATTTATAGCAAAAGAAAAAAGAAAGTTACAGTTCCCACCCTCCACCCCAAGAAGGGGGGAGGGAAAAGCCTTCCACTGCTGGCATTAAAATATGAAACTGGTGGAAAGTTTCCAGATAGATTCCTATCTGTATCTATAGATGCACAATATGCATGGAATCCTTGGACCTGTATTTTCCAACTGATTCATTTTTAATTTTAAAAATACTTTAGGTGTTTTAAATAAACATTTATACAGGCTAGGCTGGTTCTTCACACATGAATCACTTGGTGGCTGAAACATCTAGTGAAGGTTTTCATTTGTGAGCAGAACGTTACAGACCTAATATCACAAATACTAATTTCAGATAACCTTGGACACACAATGAGAAGAATCTGGCCTTTGGAGTAGGCTCACTGTAAGCAACAGAACACCTTAACTGGGACTCACTGAAGTCCCCTGGATTTCAATTTCCTTTAACCAAGACTTAAGTCAGGATCTGACCTAAGATCTTTCAGTGCAGTCAATTCACACATTCAACCATCAAGTGTGTCCTAACCATAGGCAGAACAAAACCAATGTGTATATGAACCAGTGTTGCACATATCTTTACTGGATGTTTTTTTTTTTTTAAATCAAATGATGTACATGCATGTGTGAACCAGCCCAGAGTCAGACACGACATTGCAAGAAAACCTCTTGGCAAGACAGACTTTGTTAGGAAGTTTGGGAGGGACCTTCCTGTATGTTTGTTTAACTGGAGAGGACATTAACAGATTGATACGTATGCACCATTCATATGTTAAATAGTTATTTGGAGTTTCATTTCGACAAGGTGTTTAAGGTAATAGCTTGAGAGAGCACAAGGAAGAGAGAGAAAGGGAGAGAGAGAATGAGAGAGAGAGAAGTAGTCAAGAAGAAGGATGCCATCACATCAAGACAAAGGTTAAAGAGAAGAATATTGGCACATCGGACATAAAGATAACAGCCGAGTGGCTCTCCATCTCCCTGCTGGGACAGAATACCCACCCTCTAAGTATAGTCGTAGTCTGAAGAATCATCTTCAGAAACCCCTCTGAAGTCTCTGTGGCAAGAGTTGACACTGTTCTCTTCAGCACCCCCTGAAGGCTGGAGTTTTCTACCCTTGGCCTGGCGTTCTTCCATCTTGATGGTATCATAGAGTCCCTTGGGCTCCTCATCCAGAAGGATGTTCCTCTCTGAATGGGAGGGCTTCATTTGGCAAATGTTTCGGAGGGTGAGGAGGACTGGGGCATAAAGCACGTTAATGAGGCCCATGCCCAGGTTGAGCTGCAAGAAGCCAAAGGAATGGACAATCTCCCCAGCCACAATTGGCCCCAGGGCATACGCCACGGAGTAGGAGATGTCAGCGATGGCATAGACGCTGCCATAGACGGACACATAACGGACGTCGACCAGGAAGGCCAGGGTGGGCAGCAGGGCCGTGTCGACCAGGGCGATGCCGAAGCAGATGCCACACAGGGGGACCATGAGCTGCCAGAAGTTCCTGCAGGCGGGCACCAGGCATGAACTGGCCCCGATGATGGTCATGCCCAAGGCGCCATAGAACCACTGGAGGTGGGGGTACTTGTTGGCCAACCAGATGGTAAGGTAGACCCCCAGGATGTGAGGGAAGAAGGCCGGCAGCCACGTGAGGCCCATCTGCCATTCCTCGGCATGCATGGTTTCCGACATCCAGTTGGCAATGGTGGGCTCCAGGAAGGCCAAGGGTATGTTGCAGGTGGTGAGGGCCCCCCCCCACGACGGCAATGTAGGGGTCCATCATGAGCCTGTGGATTGGGGTGCCCACCGGCATGTTCTCCCTAGCCCTGTCCCCGAAGGGGTTGATGACGAGGAGGAGGAGAAGCCCGTCCATGAGGCAGGTGAAGGCCAGCACCAGGAAGGGCGCCTTACCGTTGGCCAGGTGGTACAGGAAGCCCCCGAAAGGGGGCGCCACCAGGCTGCCGAAGGAGATGAAGGCCAGCGCGATGCCCAGGGCCCGGTTGCGCTCGGCCTCCTCCGGGAAAGTGTCGGCGAGCAGGGCTATCCCCGACGTGTCGGCCAGCGCGGAGCCCAGGCCCTGCAGACTGCGGGCGGCGAAGAGGGTGGCGTAGTTCTGGGCGAAGGCGAAGAGGAGGGTCGAGAGGAACATGACGGACAGCCCCATGAAGAGCGGGATGGCGTAGCCCACGTGGTCGATGAAGGTCCCGCTCAGCGGGTTGACCAGCAGCTGCAGGATGGCCTTGGAGGCGAACAGCACGCCGATCTTGATGTCCTGGTTGTCCGCGGGGTAGGGAGCCTTCAGCATCCCCTGGCTGGCCGTGGCGTTGGCGCCCGAGCCCTGAGGCTGCTGCGGCGGCGACGGCGACGGGGACTCCGGTGGCGGCGACCACGACGGGGGCTCCGGTGGCGGCGGCGGCGACGGGGGCTCCGGTGGCGGCGGCGACGGGGGCTCCGGTGGCGGCGACCGCGACGGGGGCTCCGGCGGCGGCGGCGGCGACGGGGGCTCCGGCGGCGGCGGCGGCTCCGGCGGCTCCGAGTAGCCGCCCATCGCGGCGATGTACTCGGGGATGATGGGCACGATCACCATGTAGAGCATGTTGTCCAGCAGCAGCGCCACGCACACGATCAGCAGCAGGAGGCGCCGCCGCCGGCGCGTCTCGCGGAGCGCGCTGCTCAGTGCCCGGGTGCGCCGCCCCACGGCGGCCGACAGCTTCTCCGCGGCCGAGCGGGGCCCCGCCGGCTCGGCTGCCTCCGGCTGCATCGTCTCAGGCCGGCGCCACGCGCGGGGAAGCAGCGAGGCAGGCGCTACCGCGGCATGGGAGCGGGGCGGGCGGCCCGGGCGCCGGCACGGCAGCCCCGCTCGCCGCGCTGCGCTGCGCCGCGCCGCCTCTCGCGCGGCCCTTCAGTTCCCCGCTCCGGCCATGGCCCGGTCCTCCTCTCCCGCCGCCTCACCCGCAGCCACCGCGTCCGCTGTCCTCCCGCTCTCGCCGCTCCTTATAAGCATCCTTCCTCCTCCTCCTCCTCCTCCTTCCGCGGGACCATGGCTCCTTCCCCTGCCGGGCGCGCCTCCCCCACTGGCCGGCAGCGACCTCCGACGAGCTTTCTTCGCCCCCAGAGCCGCGCGAGTCCGCGGGCTCGCCTGCGCCTTCAGCCACACCTCCTCCGTCGGGCTGCTGAACTCCTCGCTCGCCCCTCGACGCTGGTCCGCGGTCCTCTGCTGCTTTCTGGCGCGCCTGCCTCCTCCTCCTCCTCCTCCCCCCTCCTCTCTGGTCCTCGCCCAGTCCTGGCTCGCCACCGCCCCCCCTCCCGCTGCTGGGGCGCCTCACGACGGCCGCCCGAGCTGTGCCGGGGCTGCTCCTTGGCGGCCAGCAGCCCGTCTGCTCCTCGGAAGCAGCGGGGGCGACGCCTGCTCCCTTTGCCACCCCCTCCTGCTTTGCGGCGAGCGGCTAGCGGCCGCCCTCGCCAGGCGCCGCGGCGGCAGCCCCCGACGGCCGCCCATCCAGGCAGGGCGAGGCTCCCCCGCGCTGCCCCGCGCTCCCCCAGCTCGGGGGTCCTGGCTTGCGCGCCGCCGCTCGCCCGCCCCTGAGCGCCTCCACCATCCCAGACCAGCTGGACGCCGCCTGCCTCCAGGTGCCCTCGCCACTAGTGGACGGGCAGGCTCTGCCTTCCCCTTCCCCGCCTCCCCCCCCCCACGCCAGCCGGCTTTCTTTCTCCTGTCTCTGCCACCCCCTCCAACAAGTTGTGACGCACAGTTCAGCTTCGGCCCCCCAGGGGTTCCGTGCCAGCTGCGTCTGTTTCCGCGCATTTAGCCTCTGGAGGCCTCTTAGCCATTGCTAAGTGGAGAGCCCGAGCCCCGAGACGCCTCCGCGGCAGGAGGGAGCGCAGGCCGCGCGTGTCGGAGCGTGCCGGAGAGGAGCCGCCGTGCGCGCTCGGCGGAGAGCGGAGGGGGCCCCCCTGGAACTGGAAAGCCCCAAAAGCCTCCACCCGGACCGCAGGAATAATTCTCCTTCTCCTCCTTCCGACCCTTTTCCCTCTGGAAAGGAACCGACTCTTCGCGGAGGAATATGGTCGTTGCCTCCCCCAGTTGCTCCTGCAGCTGCTCACTGCTGGAAACTGGGTGCTGGGCTGGATGGTCTGATCCAGCAAGGGAAGGCACCATCCCCCAGCAGAAGTAAATCCAGCCTGGAAAAGGAAGGCATGTTAGGAGAATCTGGTCCCACCTTGCTTTCTCTTGCCCTCTCCCTGCCCTTTAAGAAATTTTCCAAATTAGAAATGACACTGGGGTAAGCACAGTTCCTTATTTCCAAGGATATTTCTTCTGGTCCTTGGCCCATGAGCAAATAAACAGGCTGTCTTAGAGAAGGAAACGCTACTGCTCCCCATGTGGTATTGGGGGAGAGAGGGAGGAGAACTTAGGTCAGAGTTAGGGCTTCACTCAGCTTCGGAACTCAATATCATTTCAAACGTTTAAGCATGGAATGTGTGAAGTCCTAACAAAGAGGAAAGTGACTTTGAGCATGTGCAGAGGGCCTTGCTCATTTACTGCTGAGTTTGAACTCCTCTCCGTTCTTAGTAGTAAGACTCCCAGGGGAGAAGATGGACTTTTGAGAGAAATTTCAGCTCTGGGACCTTGTTTTTTGAAGTATTAAATGTGCAATTTTGTGCATATTTAGACAGAAAGTTGTACAGCTCTTTGCATTCTCGGTCCAGCTGCCCAGCCTGCAGAACACTGAAAATTATGCAGTTGCTTTCTATCTAAAGGTACATCCAACTGTACCTTAAACCATGTACAGCATCTAGAAAAGCAGTCTTTAAAGACCCTGTGGAAAAGGATTGCTCCTCTCATCTTTTGTGCTTTTCCTCTTGCAGTTCTAGAATTTAAATTCCTTGTTTGCATCGCTTCAATCATGACAGAATGCCATCACTTTGTATATTGTACACGAACACCTTAAACACTCTAAGGGTGCAATCCTAAACACAAAGTATAGTGAACACACTCGATGTAAGATTATGCTGCAGAAGCGCTATGACCACCCTCTGTCTCTCTCCTTGCTAGCAATTGTTACAACCAGTGACAGCAACCTGCTTTGCCACACCAGTTAGCCCCAAACCAGGCTCTTGGCTAACAAGATAAGCAAACATTGGCACTCATTAGCTTGAGAATCCCAGGCAGGTAATCCAGATAGTTATCCAAGGAGGGTGCCACTCCAGGGAAAGGTCTTGCCACCAGTATTCCAAAGGAAGCCATGGTGCGGAATGAGCCCTCCCCAGATCATCTTAGGGCTGGGGTGGTGGCAGTGATGTGCGTGTTTGTGTAATCCACCAGCAGGTATTTTATCCAATATTCTGGATACAGTCTGAGCAGGATAAAATTTCATTAAGGCTGCAATCCCATACAGACTTACCTGGGAACGAGCCTCAGTGAACTTAGAGGGAATCATTCTTGGTTAGTCCTATAGAGGATGTCTGTGCCACAAAGCACAGACATTGGCTTATCATGGATGATCAGTATCAGAAATGAGGGCCAACAAGTAACTCAACAGCCCCTCTGCAAAAGCTCTTCCATAGAGTGCAGTCTTTGCAATGGTCCTTAACACCAGGAAGGAACTTACAACACGCTCCTTCCTCTAGATAGGAGCTGATTTCTAAATGGATACCAGTGTAGAGAAGGTCCTGCATTCATTGTCACTTGCACTCCAAATTCCCGAAGGCATAATGAAGAACAAGCCCTGTTCTGGTGACCCATGGTGGGAGGGGTGGTGGTGGAATACATCAGCAGGCACTTTATTTGATCTCCTGGATTCAAACCATGAATGTTAATAACACTGGTTATTAAGTACACTTTGCACTCATTGGCTAAAGCATAGGTGAATACACTGGTTGGGACCAAGTTTCTTTTTACTGGGCAACTGTGTGGCAAATTATAACTATATTTCCCTTTACATTGCAGGGCTGCTGTCCTCTCATCACTGGCTCTGGGAATAAGCCCCACTGAGCTCAGTAGGATTGTTTTCTGAGTTGGTCTGTATAAGATAACACTGTAAAAGGAAGGAAAAATGAAAGCAGAACATTCAGGGAAGGCTTCTGGAATATTACTCCTGGGGGTTATGCCCATGTGGTTGCCTCTCTCTGTCTCATTTCTATGAACCTCCATCCTTGCTTAGAATCTGTGCCTTTGACAGTACATTCCTAAGATTTCTTCTCTTAGGCCGAGTCAAAGAAGGAGGGCTGATTTCTGAATCAAGAGGTTGGAAAGAAACTTTTCCCCGCATTTGGACAAGAAGTTACCATGTGATTGGGCTCAGATCCAGTCGGGGCACCACAGAACTTATCCTGGTCAACCCCCCTCTCCCCAGCCTGCTAACAGAATTCAACTTTCTAGTTGCAGTCTAGGCCAGCTTTGCTTGCAGGCAGCATGACAAAGTTGCCAGAGACATTAAGGGACTGTAAAAAGTCAGGTGCAGTTAGCTTTATCAGCCATCCATCCCATTGTTTTAAAAAAATATTTATTTACCACAGGAGTGATTGATTTGTTATACAGATAGGGATGTGGTGGTGCAGTTGTTTAAACCACTGTGCTGCTGGGCTGGTTGATCGAAAGGTTGCCGGTTCGAATCTGCACAACAGGGTGAGTTCCTGTTGCTCCATCCCAGCTCCTGACAACCTTGCAGTTCAAAAGTACACAAATACAAGTAGATAAAAAGGTACCACTTCGGTGGGAAGGTAACAGCGTTCTGTGCACTTTGGTGTTTAGCAATGCCGGACACATGACCATGGAGACTGTCTGCAGACAAACGCTGGCTCCTTCCGTTAGGAAACGGAGATGAGCACCGTCCCCTAGAGTCAGGCATGACTGGACTTAACGCCAAAGGGAAACCTTTACCTTTACCTTTTTACCATGTTATTTGGTGTTAGATTATTAAGTGATGGTGGAAAGGCTGCATTGTGTGTATGTCCTTCTGAATTTTTTTGCTAAAGATTGTTAATCTACTATACTGTGCTTACACTTGGTTTTGTCACAGAACTGAGATCCAAAACTAGCAGGGAGAAATTTCCTTTCCTGCTTTTCCATGAGATTACCTCTAGGTGGTGCTGTGGTATAGTGGAACAGCGCAAATACACAAAAAGAAAATTACTTTTGCTTTCACAATTAAGTGGTACATCTTTCCTGCTCTAAAAACGTTGCCAAAAGCGTTAGACACAGACCTAAAACTGGAGGGCCGTGACATATGAAAACATGTAAACTGTGAGTAGGAAATTATGAATATACAGTGAATATGTTGTGTGGAAAAGTCATTTGTACCTGTAAATACAAACTACGGCCTGGAAAAAGCAGATCAGTGTAGTTTCCCAAGAATGTGTGGATTTTATTTGGATATGTGATATGGGGAAAGGCACTGCACTGGAGTTGTTCACGTAATACACGTACATGCTGTCACACAGTGTTCAAGTCTTCTCAACCTATTGTGTGAATTGTGTCCATTACAAAGTCTTGTTCTGGTGCTGATTTTCTGTGATAGGTGTGTTCTGATTGCAGACATTCCTTTGGGATGACTCATTCACCCATACACAGACCGTCAGCCTAGGGTGAATGCATATGGGAATGAGTAATAAAGCCTCACATCTGTCTCTGGATGAAGGACCACCACGGAAATGAAGGAATAGCATTACAGAAAGCCAAAGTGGATTTGCTATTTGCTGGTTTTGTATTTCTTGTTGCAGAAGGTATGGGCTTTTATAGTTTCTAGCCATATTAGCATG